CTGGAGCTGGAGACCTGGCCTGACGAGGTCACAGCTGTGGGACTCGGGAAGAGTCACCTTCCACGAGTGAATTCCCACGCTTTCTTCATCTGGGAGATGGTTTGGCAAACAAACGTAAAAAGAAGTAATATTCCAAGGGCAGGATCGAGTCCCTGGCTTGGCGTTAGAGCCGCATGGTCAGCTCAGGCGAGCTGGCCCTGGCCCCAGGGCGCGTTGGTTCCTGTTGGCGATTTGCGAGTTGGGTGCTGAATTTGATGCAGGTTTACTCAGGGAAGGCGGGAATCACCCCTCAGTCACTCTTGGGTGAATAACGAACGTGAGACAGGAGGTGGGGCTGTGTGGCTACGTGGGTACCGTCCTCCCCGGAAGCTAAGGCTCAACGTTCTTGTGTGGCTTTTGTAGGTTGGAGGACCGCCCGTTCACCCCTAAAACCTGGACCGATCTTGCCAGGAACCTCACAAGCAACATTCACTCGAGGACCCTGGTGCTGGGGCATCGCTCCCTGGGGACGTCTGAGGCGTGTTACCCACAGCGGCCCGGCTGGAGAGGCTGTCCCGAGTCCTCTCGTGGTTGTCATGCTGCGGCCCGTCTGTCTGGTGGACTGTTTCTAGGAGAAAAACAAAATGGGAGGACATGTGTGTGATGGAGCAAACCTGAGTCCTGTGATGGATCATGACCTAGAGGGTCAGGGAAGGGTTGAGCGGAGACAGAGAGACACAGAGAGACAGAGACAGACTGACAGAGACAGAGACAGACAGATCTACATTAAAGTATGTGTTTACACCTAATATCCCAGAATAAGTTATAATGAGCCTGGTGTGTCCATCCTCCAGTGTATGAACTAGAACCTCCCCAGTACTACCTTCCGCGCTCACCAACCATACCAGCTCCCGACCCCTGGCCCCCGCCCCCCACCCCGACAGCACGTTGAAGTGGCTGAGCAGGCTCCTTACTTGCACGTACAGCGGTAGCACTCTGCACGGAGCCGCAAGCAGAACGTAGCTTTGCATTGGTTTGAATTTCACACAAGTGGCCTCATCAAGTGATGTGTTCTTTTCCCAGTCACCTGACACCAGTGTTCATTTGCGTTCAGCTGTTTCCATAGTCCGTTCCTCTCCGGTGCGGAACGATAACTTCTGTATGGCTGTGCGACAAGCCGGGTGCCCGCCTTCCCTGCCACGGGGGCTTGGGCTGCGCACACGCACACGCACACCCTGTGAGGCGCATCCTGGGAGCAGGGCTGCCAGGTCACCGAGGGCGTCCATCTGCAGCTCTGCAGGGCGTGTTCCAGAGTGCGTGTCTCTAGAGCAGGCCCACCGCGGGGTGTGTGAACACTCCCCCAACTCCAGGTCCTCATCCAGCTCTGTCACCGCCCCTGTGTTCTTGTTAACTGCTTGCCAATCTGCTGAGCAGAAAGTAACATCTTATTGTTTGTTTATGACTCAAGCACTACTTTTTTTATTTTCTTACTGACCTGCCATCAGTTACACTGTGTCAGTTTCTGGTGTGCAGCACAATGTCCCCTTCATGCAGACACATACATATATTTGTTTTCATATTCTTTTCTATTAAAGGTTATTACAAGATACTGAATAGAGTTCCCTGTGCTGTACAGAAGCTGCTCGTTTTTAATCTATGTTTATATATAGTGGCTAACATCTGCAAATCTCAAACTCCCTTTCCGCCCCCTTTCCCCCCTGGTAACCGTAGGATTGCTTACTATGTCTGAGCGTCTGTTTCTAGATGAGTTTTTGTAGATGAGTTCATAGTGTCCTCTTTTTTCCTCCTTTTTTTTAGGGTCCACATATGAGTGATGTCATATGGTATTTTACTATTTTTTAATCAATGTATAACGGACCTACAATGTCACTAGTTTCAGGTGCACAGCACAGCAATTTGATGCTTTTCTCTTCTTTTAGTTTTTTTTAAATTGTGTAATTTTTTAATGTTTTTCTTTGTTTTGTGGGGGACGATTAGGTTTGTTTATTTAAATGGAGGTGCTGGGGGTTGAAGCAGGACCTCGTGCACACTTAGTGCTCGCTCTGCCGCCGAGCTGCACCCTCCCCAACCCCGCAGATTTGATGCTTCTCTACATTACAAACTGATCACCACGGCAGTCCTGGAGCCATCTGTCACTGCACAAAGTATTACAGTATTAGATACCATGCTGTTTACCCCTGACTCCTAATGAAAATGCTTCCACAACCTTACCATGCACCTGCTTCTCTAACAGGAACTCCTGCTCACCTCTTTGTATGCATCTTTCTATTTCTGCAACTTCTGAGATGACATCCCTTCAGGTCACCTCCATTTCTCTCCTTTACTCTCTGGCCACTGCTGGTCCGTTTCTCTTCCCTCTGAACCCACAGTACAACGGCTCTCCTGATCTACAATTCCTTCTCACACCGAAGCTTCTATCTTCCCCTTGAAATCTGGGAAGCCCCAGGAGCTGGTGCCGGGGTGGGGGGAGGTACCTGCCTTAGGAGGGAAAGCCCAGATGGAAATCTTCCCCTCTCAGCATGGGACGAAGAAAACCCGGGAATTAAACTGCCCCGCGTCTGTGTGTGTCTCCCTCGGGCTGGAGAACTGTGGCCGCACAGCGCCTTCGTGCAAAAGCCTTATCTGCTCTCCCGCGATCAACAAGAGCCTGACCCACCTGAGCTTGGCGGGAAATTCCTTGACGGATGACGGGGCGAGACAGCTTTGGCATGCCTCACAGCTCTCTCAGCATCCTCTGCAGAGGCTGGTGTAAGTCCACAGGTGTTTTCTTCGTGAAATCTCTGGAGTGGAACAGGGCACTGTTCATTTAGGCAGCACATTCATTAAGTATAAGCAACTGTGCTTCACACTGGAGGAAAGCGTGGTCAAGGGGAGGGTGGTTTTCATCTCCGTTTCAGAGGCAAATGGTCTAGTGGCAGAGTTCTTAGCTGGTGTGCTGAGGCACCAGGCGTGAACACACAGAGGCACTGCAGCATTGCTTCTCTTCTCTTTTTTTTTAACTGAAGTATATAGTCGGTTACCATGTGTCAATTTCTGCAAGATATTTTAAATGTAAGCGATTCTGACGTCTGTTCGTCACCGCAAGAGCTTTCAGCTCGGGGTCGTTCGTTCTAACGTCAGATTGGGCTCCGTTCCTTTGAACGATGTCAATATCTTGGCAAAGCCAGGTTTTCATTAGTTGCTACCAGGAGAGCAAATGTGTCACAAAATTGAATGAAGAATAGGGTGACGTGAAGAAATGGAGATGCTAGGGATGGTGTAAACCGAGAAAGTTTGGGAAACTCTGACCTAATGTGTTCCTCTAATTCCTAGACACTGGGGGTAAGCGCTATGCCTTTGAGATCAGAATAGTGTGACGTGACCTGGTTTTCGGCGTTAGAAGTGGGTCGTGTAACTGGCCACGATATGGACCAGGATATGTGCTAAACGACATCTTGTTTGATGTTTCTCTCACTCTTCCGTAAATTCTTTCAATGACTTCCCTTAGGTGTCAGGTGCTTTGTTATTAACAGAAATTAAACTCTGTCTTTAAACCGTTAAAAAAAAAAGGAATGCTGGCTTGTAAAACCAGAAACGCAGAACTGACACAATATCCCCCAAGCCCACTGACGATTTTAGCGTCCCTCCCCGAGGAGCAGGAAAGGGTGCAACTGCTTTGGAAAACAGTCTGATGGCGCCTCAAAGGGCTAAACGTAGCCGTGATGTGAGTCAGCCATTCCCCTCCCAGGTATGCACGCGAGAAATCGAAACAGAATCCACACCAAAGCCACTGTACGCAGATATTCATGGCAGCATTACTGGTAATAGACAAAAAGTGGGAAACAACGTAAGGGTCCAGAAACTGACGGATGGATAAAGAAAACGTGGTCTGTCCACGTGGTGGAATATTATTCAACCGTAAGAAGGAGTGTGTACTAGCACATGCCACAACGTGGGTGAGTCTTGAACCCTATGCTAAGTGAAAGAGGCCAGTGACCAAAGACCACATATTGTGTGATTCCACTGAAATGTCCAGAATAGGCAGCTTCACAGGAAGAGAAAGCAGACCAGTGGTGGCTAGAGCTGGGGGGGGGGAGGGTAGACACTGGGAACGACTGTGGAAAGGTACTTACAGCATTTGCCCTTTGGGGCTGATGAAAGTGTTCTAGAATCGGGGTAAACGTGCAACTCGGTAAACATACTAAAAAGCAAGGTTTTGTACACTTTAAATGGGTGCGTTGTATGGGGTGTTAATTATATGGCAATAAAGCTACTGTACCACACACACTCACACACACACACACACACACACCCCAAAAAAAGCAGCAGGAAGGACGTCTGAGGGTGTCTGGTTGGCTTCCCTTCACGCATGCTTCCCTGCACGTGCCCTGCCTGTGCCCTGACCTCTGCCTGCTGTCCCGATATGGCTTCTGCTCTGGACAAAGATAAAACCCTGAGGAGTCTGGACGTTGGCGTTAACGGCCTGAAGGACGCCGGTGTCATCGCGCTCTGTCAAGCCCCAACGAACCTCGACTCTGGGCTGCAGGTTCTCGAGTGAGTCGTCCCCACGTCCTTCCCTGAGACCGGTCGTCTGTGAAGTTCTCTCGGGGTGGAATGTGGGAGAGGGCTCTGCATTTCTGGGGTTGCCCCTCCCTTTGGTTGGAGGACTGGGAAGCCTCAGAGCAGAGCACCAGGGGCCTCCCTGATCGAGACGGGGTTGGTTGGGATTTTTATAAACTGGGGCAGGTCGACTACACACCTGTGCGCTCTTGACACAGGTGGCCATTCCTGCCTTGCCGTTTACTGGCCAGTCCAGGTTCATGGAGAGAGAAGGCAGGTGAGCAGAAAGCAAGCAAAGAGGAGAAAGCAGGAGACAAGCGGATGCCAGGGCCCCCACGTCACGTCTGTTTCGCATTAATTATGACAGCCTTGCCCCAGAGATAATTTGCACTTTGCTCAGGGATGGGCCCCTTTCTACGCCTTCCTCTCACCCTCACACCACGTCCTGTTCCATGCCGGCACCATATTAGTGATACAGTTGGTCTCTGGGCCCGTCTCCCGCATTTTTTCCACGAATGCTGTGTGTGAGGGCAGAGATCTGTTCCTAGAAGGATCAGAGAAGCCCCGTTGGCTTCCTGTGCACAGCAAAGCCAATCAGTCCTACACATGCATACGTATGTTTTTTTCAGATTCTTTTCCATTACAGCTCATTATAAGAACTGAATATAGTTCCCTGTGCTATACAGTAAGTCCTTGTTGTTTATCCGTTTTATATATAGTCATGCGTGTCTGTTCATCCCAGACCCCTAGTCTTCCCCTCCCCCGCTGCCCCCAGTAACCAGTTTGTTTTCTATGAGTGACAATCCACTTTTTAAAGAGGTGTGGCTCACAACCCCTTGCAGTAAGGAATCTCGGAGCCTACTCTGGGTAATCCAGTTAAAACATACCAAGAAGCTGGCCCAGGTAGGTGCTCAGAGCCCACGTGGAGGGGAGTGAGGCCTCCCGCCGGAGGGTGACTCCTGGGCTGGCTGAGCGCTGAGCCGGGGGGCTGTGCTGATTCCCCACTGCCGGCTGCTGCCCCCCGGGCTGGAGGAGTGCCTGTCCACCTCCATCGGCTGCCAGGCCGCGGCTGCTGGGCCGTGGCTGCCATGCTGCTCAGAGCCGACATCTGAGATACCTGGACCTGAGCAGGAACGACATCGGGGTTGGCAGCATCCTGCTCCTGTGCGAGGCTGGCAGGGCCAGGAGGTGGGGAGCCAGGGCCGCCCTGAGAGTCTCTGTGGGGCGCTCGGTGCAGGAGGAGCCTCTCCAGGAGGCGTCCTCACCATGGGTGGGGTCCTGGACCTAAAATCCCGCTGCAGATGTTGCTAACCTTCCTCTCTCACTTCCTGGGGATCCGTAGTTGCCGTCATGCCGCTGACCGGCTGCAGCTTCTGCCTGTGTGATGGGAGAGCTGACCTGGGGTCCCCTGGCTGCTCTTAAATCGCTTCTTTTCTTCATCTTCTCTCCTTGTCTGAAACCACTCTGTCTGTGATCACCACTCACCGGCTCCGTGGCTGTCAGCAGCTTAGTTAGCCTTTCCTTTTTCTGTAACATTCTTTTTTGTTGAAGTAGAGTCAGTTTACAGCGATGTGTCAGTTGACCTTTCTGAGTCCGTTTCTCCATCCCTCATGTTGGGATGGCGTCCTCCTCTGAGGAGACACCACGGGGATTGGAAGAAACGGCATCTCTCGGGCACTTGGCTCAGAGCTGAGGCCACGGTGCTGTGGATCAGTGCGGATTCTGGGCAAACGAGACAGGGACACCTGGCATAGCTGTTACCTACTGCTCTGTAGCAAATGACCTCCACGCCTAATAAGGCAACACAAGTCCATTTTCTTGTGAAATTTCTGAGGGTCAGAACCACGGGAGTGGTTTAACCAGGTGCTTCCAGCTCATGGTCTTTCGTGAGCTGAGTTAAGGTGCTGACTGGAGTTGGATGAGGCTGGTGGACCAGCCTCCACCCTCACCCAGGGGGCTGTTGGCAGGAGGCCACAGTTGTCTGTGTAGGGCTGGTCCTGGCGCTGCAGCTGGCTCCGTGCAGAACAAGTGATGGGGGAGGGAGGGAGGGACCACAAGCACCCCGAACAGAGCCACGGTCTTCTACTGCTGAACTGCGAAAGTCCCACAGTCTCTGCCTGTCTGTGCCGGTTGCACAGACCAACAACCCCAGCCCAGGGCGAGGGCGCCACCCAGGCGTGTGACAAACAGGAGGGGAACACAGGCCACGTGAAGCCACCGGCCACACCTCGTAAGTGGTGGGACCCGCCGCACACTGGTCTTGAATCTCCTGGGTGCCAAGGTTTTACACACTTTCCCGGGACTGCAGAAGAAAACCAAACACAAAGAGAACCAAATCCAACGCTTACCCCTCACAGGGAGAAGCAGCAGAGCGACGAAGCGGATGCGAGGAGGAGGCTGGAGGGCCCAGTGGCGGAGGACGAAGTCCTGAAGATCGCTCAGGACTGGAGTCCGGAGCGCTCTGACGAGGCGGCGTGGATGAGCTGACCCGCTAACCCCACTGGGTCGCTTTTCCTGATGAAAAATTGGGAAACGGTTGCCTGTTCTGTGGGCCATTCCGAGTCTGGGGTGGCTCAGTTAGTTCTGGAAAATGGGGTCGGACATGACCTCCAACAAGCTCCCCTGGGGATGCTGAGGGTCACGGGTCAGACGCACGTCATCCACTGAACTGGGGGCACCGCGGCGAGGAGACTTCCCTACTCCGGCTTCTGGACGGCTTTGTGTGTGTCATGTTAATGTCGTCTCTGGGCCGCATCTGCCTTGCCTACTGGCTGCTGGGGGAATTTGACTAAAAATGTGCTTGAATGCAATCTGAAAACGTTTTTGGTGTCATTTATTTATGACCAGACTTGTACAGCAACTGTTCAGAGAGGGGAAAAGATCTGTTCCTTAACTTGCCTTGGAAGAGGGTCCAGAGAAAACTTCCATGGAAGGTCATCCAAGAATGGAGAAGGAAAAGCACCTCACGTTTAAGGAACTCTTTAAAAAAAAAATGAAGTGGGACTTCCCACTTTTATTTGAAGGAGTTTAATCCACTAATAGAGTAAAACAAATTAAAACAAATGTTTCTTGCATGTGTAGGAGGCTAAACCCGGAGCCAGACTGGAAGCTCTAGAGGGCGGTTCCTGCATTCCGTGCCCCCAGGCACTGTCCACCTTGATAGGCCGTAGCAATAGGTGGGGGCCTCCGGTGCAGCGCCGTGGGGAGGAACCGCACATCACGGGCCAGACGCTGCACCTTCCG